TCCTGTCCTGCACCTTTGAACAGCAAGAGCAGAGGCAGTCTTCAGGCATCTCACGCCACCACCTTTGCCAAAATGTCAGGAAAAGCACCACGGTCACAAACAAAACACCAGCCCACCCTAGAACTGCCCCTGGAATGCCATCAACACCAAGCACGGCCCCTGTGGCTCCAGCGTTACAGGCAAACATTCTATAGAGCTCCAGTCCTAAGAAGTAGTTCCTTACCCCCACGTGCTGTGTGCTGCAGGATAAAAGGAACAGAGAAGAAAAACATCCAGAATATTGCAGCTCCTACTTCTCCTTTTCACCACATTGCTACATTGCTTTTCAGCCACAGACCTGAAACTGTTACAGTACTTGACCAACATGAGATAAACTTTTAAATTTTTTTTTTCTTTTTTGAATCAAAGCAGCCCATAAAGAGATCGTGTTGGGTGCGTGAGTGGATGTGATTGCTCTGTTTTGTATTCTTTCTGTGAAATAGTCGAGGAGAGAGAAACCAAGTAGAATTCAATGCAATGTGTAATTCTAAATAAACATTTTGCCTATGTTTAGCCAGCAATGAAAGTGAGTAGGTCCAGAGATCTAAAAAACCCAGAAAATAATGGAACAGAGCCCAGTCCTACAAAAACATTGTTGAATTTAGAGCAAACACCATGCAGAATGGTGCAATGCTGATATCTATTAGCTCTGTTGCTGTTCATAAATCCTGGAGACAGGGATTGACTGGGCATGTTTTTAAAAGAAAGTATTTGTTTTGTTTTGTTTTTATAAACACCTGAAGCAAACCTAGATAGCATCTTTAAAAAATATTTCATGATGACAAATCATTCAATTAAAATACTTGCCAATACACGCTTCGCACATCATCTATCACAAAAAGGTATTTGCAGAACATAATGAGAAAAGAAGCGAGTTCATTTCTGGTCTGTTCAGGTTTTCCAATCTCGTTCATCAGTGACGTTTCCAACCATTAACCATTTTCCTGTACAGCAGTAAACAACATGACTCACCTCTTTATCTTCTCCTCTTCCTCCCAGAGGGGGAACTGTGGGGAACACATTGTTTTGGTCATTTCATACACATTTGCTTTGCTGCTGTGTTTTTATGCTTGAGAAGGCACAGAAATGCATCTTGCAGGAGGAACCAGAGGGTGAGGGTGTTGTATTTAAACTCTCGGGAGTGCCTTTTGCATGCTGGGACTGACCTCCAGGAAAGCCTTGTCTCACACTGAGGAGCATTACTTGATGCTTCTGTTGGGCCAGAGGCATGCAAACTGTCAAAGTTATCGTCCCAGGATCTTTAGTAGTCTTGGACTCAGGCCACAGATCAACCAAAAATATTGAGGCACTCAACTTAATATAGAATTTAATGCCAAAACCAGTGTGAAATGGGAGGAAATGTTTGATACAATCCTGTTCTATGCTACTATATTTTATAAAAGGCAAAGTTTCCTTACTGCAGTTTTGAATGCTGTATTGCTGCAGTGTAAGCAACCCGAGGAGAGGCACTGTCAGAACGGGACAGTCTAAACTCACCCCCCATGACAGAATGCGTTACGTGTAGATCGTAACAGAACTGTATATCAGTCATAAATCAAATCACGCGCCTATGCTACCGGTTTAGTTGAGCAATTGTAAGTGGGTGTTTCCAAATAATAGCAGTTGTATTACATTTGTGACTTCATCAAAATCGCTTCTGATGATCAAGAAAACCTGTGACACCTTCAGCCCACCGTTCTGCACCCAACAGGTTACCTCACTTGATGTTATTTATAGGAGGTAGGTGTTGCTGTAGTGATGCCTCGTTAGAGCTGCCTTTTTAAGCCCATATCCTCCCTTCAGTTTCATGAGAGACCATCCATACATGAATTACACAGATCGGATGTAATGATGAAAGTGATGCTCATTTTGCTGCTTCTCCCTTCCTGGCCACTACCACTTTCTGATGACACAGCAGTATCACATGAGGCACCACGGCAGTTGCTGCAGATGTCCAGCAAACTGAGTATGAATTTCTACCCGCTCCTCAGCTACTGGCAGGAAACCACTTATCAGTGCTACTTAAAAAAAACCCAAAAATAAACACATAGAAAAAAGAAATACAGCTTGTAAGTTTTGCAGTAAAGGTCCTACCAAGTGCAGAAAACTATTTTCTGCTCTATGAGTTAGTAGTCTGCCTTTGTTTAATTTCTCTGGCTTTGCTGAGGACTAAGGAGTTGGTATCAGCAGTTGTGGGCTAAAGCCTCGTACATGGAGTGGTCTTCTCTAGCATCAGTCAGACAATTGAATGTTTAGAAGCAGAAAGAAGCACTCCTGCATCCTTCTGATGACTACATCCACCTGTAGTAGTACTTACATTTCCTGAAGCTTAGGCCATGCTGAACATCCTTGATTTGTGATTCCATTAGAGTATCTGTTATTTTCCAGTAGGTGAATATACTGAACACTGAAGGTGTTTGAGAACTCGTGCCGATTGTGCCTTCCCTAATTCATTGTACTGGGGCTCCAGGCTGAGGAAGTGATTTACCCTTCTGGAGAGCTGCTTCAGGCAGAATGTGCAGCTTCAGGAGAAGCAATGGAAAAACAATCCCAGCATAGACCTTCCAGCCTGGACTGACAACCACTGAGTTTTCGGTCCCTGCCCATCAAAATGAAGTACGTGGATGAACAAAGAGTAACGGCAGGCAATTCAAAATGCAATGCACTGAAGAATGGATACAGTGACAACATACCAGCCCTTCCATTCATCCTTTAGCAAGTAAGGTGTTATTTTCTTTTAGTGAGTTCAGAATATTACAGTCTGTAAACCTTTGTTATTCCATCAGGAAGGTATTTCCTATTGGTTAGGAGCTAAAAAGTCAGAGTGAAAGCACGGACTACTTGACCATGGCTAACTACAAAGCCCTCAACTGAAGCTGGAGATCAGGTCCGTGATGTGACCGGTGTTTGTGCTCAACCAAAGATGACTTACGATATTCCTTGTTGCAAAAAAATCAGGGAAGGGGACTGCATATTGCACAGCATGTCCTTTGTGCAATGTATCTCAGATCAGGCGAAACTCAGTTGTGGGTGAAATTTCAAAGAGCGTTTCAGTGGCCTTGAGAGATGAATCTACAGTCGGAAGGATTGTTCACTTTCTGCAAAGTACAATTTATGCTAATATTCCTGGCACTGCGTGCTTGAAAGATGCCAAGACTGACAAAATATTTTAAAAGGACACAACTGGAAGAAGAGGCGTTATATGCATGAAATAGAACAAGAATCTTTTTTATTCTATACAAAGAATATACTAACTTTTTACACTTAAGTTTTGATGTGCAATATGTAAGCAGGTAACTAACTGAATTTTATCTGAATTGAGAAATTTATCTGAACTGAATTTATCTGAGAAAGTCACTTTAAAAAAATGCATTATTCATCTATAGTTTTAACTTGGGAAGACTTTTATAACGGGTGTCTGGTTTTTAAGACAATGCAAGTTTTCTGTGTTGAGGAACAGGTGGTCGTGTCTCCTTGCACATTAATTTGCAATTACAAACCAAAGTAATTTCCTTAGAGGAGGTAAAGCATAGCTATAAACTGTTAGTTTTCTCTTCTACTGGGAACAATCACTTTAAAAGAACATTCACTGTCAGGTACATATATATGAATCTTCCTGATGAACATCTCCATTGGAGAAAAAGGGCTGTCAGAAGACCTCCCATCTCCACATATCGGAACGGGTCACAGGGAAGAAGCTCTTTCGAAAGGGAGGTAGAAGTGTGCCCCTAAACCTCACAGGCGTACAAACATGGAGTTAGCCTGGAGAACAGTAAATACAAATCATATATGTGTTATGTCTGACTTCACCAGTTTTGAAGAAAAGCTGCAATTCAATGGCAGACAGCATTGGAAAGCTGACCTAAGTCATTGCTCAATTCTCAAAGCGCGTTGCACAGGAATTCCCCCAAAAGATAACAAAGAGCAAAAAGATAAAGGGCTGTCCTTTGTGAAAAGCAGAGCACTGTGCCAAGGGAGCCTGCTCCAACCCCAGCATCTTAATACGGGAAACATTGCCATACGTTCTCTCTAAACATGGACACCTCAAGTTAGACAAACCTAAGAACAATCATTTTAACAAGGATTTGACTGTCACAGTAACTCCTGTATTGCTGTGCAGCCAGTGCAATACTGCTGTTTCTTAAGTGACCTTCAAGGATTCATGCTATAAATTTGATATAAACTTCAGGTCATGTTCATTCTGATGATAAAACTGTTTCCTAAGGACCTCCCATTTTTAAACTTGTCAAAGAAGTTTATACTGTCATC